GTATTTTTGTTTTTTTGTTTTTTTCTTTTTTTGGAGGGAAAGCACCTTACAACAAAGAATAATACTATTTTGAATTTCAGAGCTTTCCCTTTTTCAAAGCTCTTTACCCCTTCTGACTTAATTTGTCCTCAGAGCAAGGCCATAACTAAGTAGGGAAGGATTTTTAGTACCGATCTTGCAGCCTGAGAAAAAGCTCACATTATGGAAAGTTAAAGAGGAGAGGTGAAGACAGGGTTGCTTTGTCATCTCTGGCCACACTCGGGCCCACAGAAGCTGTACTGGAACCAGGCGTGCCCAGGCTGTGCTCCTGCGGGGGACCGTGTTGTTAAAAGGAGCACGGGACCTCCCTCTTGCTCTGCCCTGGTCCACCCCAGCTCTCTGATGGTGAGAAGCCTCTTTGAGGCCATTTTTTCCAGAGGTTTGTGTGATTTGCAAATTTGATAAACACGCCATCCGTGTCTCTTCCTCCAACTTATTTTCAACACGGCAAGTGGGCAGGACACAGGACAGAGCTCTGTGCCTCTCCATGGAAACATTCAAATGACATGACTGGTGCACACCAGCCACAGACAGACACTGTCACCTTGAAGTCCTCAACCTTCTCTAAGTGTGGAACTGCTGAGAATCTTTTCAAAGCAGACTTGCCAGTGGAGAGGAAGCACTGAATAGTCTGTCCATCTGAGACCTTGTGGGTGGTCCGGCCAGCCTGGCCACCTCTGTGGCTGCAGTGGGGACAGAGGCCACAAGATCATCATGCTGCCACAAGGTGACCTGGTCGGGATGGCTGTCCTGCTGACTGTGGGCGCTCCCGGTCACACCTTTCCCTGCTGGTCCTGTGTACTTATGTGCACAGGACACAACGAGAGATATTCAGATGCTTACTGAAAGCAAGACATACTTTCTGGGGCATTCCCCCAATCGACTGTTCTGGTGAAGCTCGTCAAAACAGGAAATGAGGTTAGCATGGAATGACTTTCTCTCAGAGAACAGGCCTTGCCTCTGAGACCACCACTTTCCTCCCCAATGCTGTGAGCCTGTCGGATGCCTCCTCTGGGTTTGCCCGGAAGCCAGGCTGAGCATGTGCTTCTGTAGCTGGTAGGACCCATTGCTTTGGAAAATGGAGGTGATCTGCGCTCGATCCCAGCCTTGCAAACCTTCCCCCTTTCACAGTAGTGCCTGGAAGACGTTTGCAAGCTGCTCTGAAGTTATATCCTCACACATTTCAAACACAGCCAGAGCGTGGTCCAGGGAAGGCTCCATGCATGTCCCAGGCTGAGGGTTATATGCAAGCTCCCCACATGGGCTTTAGGCAGCTCCCTTGTCATGCCGCTTGGTCTATGTGTCCCCTCAGAGATGCCAGCAAAAGAGATGGCTCCAGCAAGATGGACCATGGTGGGCACAGTCCACCTTCCCGCTGCTCCCTGAGTTTGGTCAGAAACACAGTGACAATGGAGCTGACCTGGCTTCACTCATGGGAGGCCCTATGTGGGGTTCTCCGACACAGTTATCAGAAGAAGCCAGGGTTTCACCGTCCAGGCCACCGGCAGCAGACCGATCTATGCTGAGGCCTTCTGACCAATGGCCCCACTTGGACTTTGTAGATTTAAACCTTTTTGTTAATGCAGAGTGCTGTGGAGTCACATTGGCTTCTGTCTGATGGAAGGGCGTCAACCTGGGGAGACTTGGGTTTGACTCCCAGGTATCCCCACATATGCAAGGTGGGTTACCTCTTGGAGGTTGACCTGTGTATGACACTCTCACTGTTTTAGTATCAGCTCTGCTCTCTTTTACATGATTGGGCAGGAACTCAGAGGCCACTCTGAGTCCCTGTGGCCCTTCCTTCACACAGCGTCTCTGCTGGCCCCACAGGTGAACAGGTACTGCGTTCTCAGGGTGGCTGCCTAAGAAGATGGATTAGCACCCCCAGAGTGACCCCGGTGGCCATTCCACCCAGCCTCTGTTGGCTCCGACACAACCTCTGGTGTGTCACCACATTATCGCTGTCCTCACAGCAGGCCCCAGGGCTGAGCTCATCATCCTTCCATTTCAGTTAAGAAAGCTGAGTTCTGATGGTTTCAATGTGCCCCTGCTCTCTGAACCAGAGGCTGAAAGCTGCCCATGATTTAAATCCATCGGGGGTGTGGTATGGCCACCCAGTGCTCCAGGTGCTGCTGCTTTGCACTTTATAAATAGGCAAAAGCAAAAACCTTTTCTCCTTAAAATGGGCTGTGCGTGGTAAGGCAGTCAGGAGAAAGACACCCGAGCACAGCTGACAACAGGAAGAGACCAGAGGTCAATGGCCTAGCGAGCAGAGACCTCTGCCCCCTCTTGTTGCAGCAGTGTGGCGACCACCAAGCCTCCTCTGTGTGGACACTGTGGCCAGGCTGGCCCTGCTCTGCCAGAGTTGTATGAGGGCCCCCGCTAGGGGGCCAGGCTGGAGATAGCTTGGTTTTCTGAAAACTGCCTGCCACTCCTCACTGTGTGGTCAGCCGAGGCAGAAAGGCAGAAGCCGGGATCTGCACTCCAACGGCTGCTGGTCCCCTCTGGGCCCAGCCAGAGCTCCGTGTCCCCGTCTCTTCTCAGTGGGGAACAGATGCTAGTAAAGTGAGTTCAGTCTTTATGCTGGGAGCCAGTCAGAGGCCAGGGCTAGCAGTTAGAGGCTCTGGGGCTCAGGCTGACCTCCACCCCTTAGGCAACAGAGGGTCAGCGAGATGGGGATGGGAAGGGCTAGGAAACCATGAAGACAGTGGCCCTAGTAGCAGGGGCTTTGCTGCCACTTGAGCAGGAAAAGCAAAAAATCAGCCCAGCTCAAGGGTCCCACCCCGGCCCTTGCCAGTTCTCACTCCACCACTTCACTTGTGGAATCTCTGGAGGCAGCAGAACCTGACTCTAGTGACTGCTGGTCCCTTTGGGCCCCTGGTTTGTCGGGGATGGTCCCATCGAGCCTATTAGCCAGTTAGTGTCCGTGTATCACCTTCATCTCTGCCTTTTGTTTCAGACATGTCCTGGTTCGGACAATAAACTATATGGACCCCCATCTTTAGGTCACCTTAATATTCACAAGAAGTTGCTCCACTGACACCAACTCCTTCATACCCGTCATCTCTAAGAAGGAAGTATGTGGGCAGTTCACCAGCAGTCTGGCAAGTTGGCCCCAGAGTGGCAGGGCCAGCCCCGGAGTAGATCGGGGGGAGATGACGAGAATGCACATGTGCACACACGTGTGTGTGTGGTCATGTGAGCCCTGTGGGGGTGTATGTGCGTGTGTATGGGGTGTGAGTGGATATCATTGTGGGGCCTATGGTACACGTGTATGTGGTATGTATGCGGTGTGTAGTGTGTGTCTACCTGTGGGTGTTGTGTGTGTGCATGTGTGCATACGTGTGTGGTGTCTATGGGGTGTGCAGGTGTGTGTGTATGTGTATGTGGTATATCTGTGGTATGTGTGTGTGCATATGTGTGTGATGTCTGTTGGATGTGCAGGTATGTGTATATGTATGTGGTGTATGCGTTCATATGTGCGTGGAGTCTCGGGTTTGCAGGTGTGTGTGTATGTGGTATGTGTGTGGTATGTGTGTGCATACATGTGTAGTATCTGTGGGGGTGTGCAGATATGTGTGTGTGTGTGTGTGGTGTGTGTGTGTTGTGCATGTGTGCATATGTGCATGGTGTCTATGGGGTGTGCAGATGTGCAGAATGAGAGTGTGGCGCTCCTGGAGCATGTGAGGGAGGACAAGTGCTATCCCAGGTACATGTGTAGTATCTGTGGGGGTGTGCAGATATGTGTGTGTGTGTGTGTGGTGTGTGTGTGTGTTGTGCATGTGTGCATATGTGCATGGTGTCTATGGGGTGTGCAGATGTGCAGAATGAGAGTGTGGCGCTCCTGGAGCATGTGAGGGAGGACAAGTGCTATCTCAGGCTGATGGTGGGCACTCTCCAGACCCACACAGAGCTTCTCATAGCACCACCAGAGGAAGGCACCCCAGTGGGGGCATGGGTGCGTGAGGTGGGGACGTGGCCGGGCACAGCCCTGAGCCCCTGCCTGGAGTCCTTGAAGGCAGAACCGGGCCTCACCGTTCATGCCCAGCTGGTGACTGGCGTATAGTGGGGCCTCAGAAAGAATGTGCCCGGGGTGAAGTACCCTGAACGGAAGCCCCTTCCTTGTGCTCTGCCAGCTGACATGCGATGCTGGGAGAGTGCCTGGGGCTCCAAGTTGCATGTTCAATGTCCGTATCTCCTGCTGGCATGCCCAGTAATGCTCTCTCCTGGAAAGATTGCACAGGCAGCCGAGCCCTCTAGGCCAGCACAGGTGCCCACCTGTCCACTGCCTGCTGCTCCAGGGGGAGTATCACTCAAGTTAGCCGAGGACCATTGAAGGTGCCTTGATGAATCTCTTACTGAGATGGGAATGACCCAGGAAAGGATTTCTGGAGACCGGGTGGGGCTGGGGCTGGGGAAGCAGAGTCTGTGCAGATGACAGGATTGAGCAGATGACAGGGTCACGCAGATGACAGGGTTGCACAGACACGCCATCCGGTTTGCAGTGTCTCCAGGAGCTCATTCAGCCACCCCGAGCCTGGGTCTCCAAATCCACACACGGGACAATAGCGCTGACCCCATGGCACAGGAGGCTGTTTGTGATGTTATGTGGATGCCCAGAGGGCCACCTGGCACGAGGCACAGAGCCAACAAGTGACGATTCTCATCACTGCCATCCTAATTCTTAAAAACTGAGGGTTTTTTGTTTTGTTTGTTTTGTTTTGGTTTTGTTTTGTTTTAATAAACGTGTCAAGAAATAGTAGAAACATGCCCTGGTAAGAATACTCTGATGGGGTCCCAATAACCTAAGCCAAAAATATAAAATAGCAAAAGGAAGAAAAGATCTAGAAAGCAGGGGTAGCAGGGACAGCAGTCTTCGAAAAAAGGTCAGGGGCCAGGGGTGGAGAGAGAGAAGTGCACGGTCAGCAGCCCGAGCCCTGCTTCCTCTGCCTGTGTAAGTGTGACGAGGGCCCAGTCCAGAATCACAGAGCCAGACACAGTATAGGAACACTGATTTACTTTAACGTAAATATTTTGATGTCTTTCTTTTCCTGAACTTTTAACCTTGCTGGTAAACAGAGTACCGACAGTAAATGAATTGTTTTTCTGAGAACTGACTTTTAAGGAAATAGGAAAAAAACCTACAATTTTTATTAGCTAATCGTCAGTCTTGTGCAGGGTTGAAACTCTCGGTATTCTGCTTCTTAACTCTGCTTTAGGAGACACTTGGCTACCAAGAAATTGCTTTATTTTAATTTATATATGAAAAAAAAACCTATAAAATGTGTGAATACACCCTTTCAGAAATAGAAAAACTTACAAAGACAACAGAGGGAGGAAAGTCATTCTGCAGAGGTTTCTGAGGCAAGAGAAAGAGCCAATCCAAACTCCAGTTTGTCACTTGTGATAGAAACCCCTCCCCCGCCCCAATCCCCAGGATTTTCCCTATGGACTCCGGTCCTCTGCTCAGCACTCCTATCGCCGTCACCGTTGAGAAGTTGTGAAGGAGGCACAGAGGGCATCTGAAGTCCTGGCTGCAGAGTGTGGGCCTTAGGACACACTGTCACATCCCAGGTGTGACCTTCCTTTCTCCAGGCAGGTGGATGGCAGCCATCTGTGTTTGTAAACACTGTCCCTGCCAATAGACTGTGTGACACCATTTGTGATCAATAAGAACAATTACAGGGAACCGACCGGAACAAGGAAGCTCTGGACTCTACGTGGATTTTTCACTTGAAAGTGCCATCTAACCTCTGTCCTGCCATTTCCTGAACTGTGAAGTGGACATGTGACTTTCTGGCCTTCAGGCTTCTTGGAGGTGTTGTCGAAACACAGGATCTGCAACTTTCTTCAAAATAGTTGGGAAGAAAGAAGCCCTCTCCATGCCACGTCATGATGGAGTCTCATCGGGATGGAAGCAGAGTGGCCGGTCCTTCAGGGTCCCTAAGCCTCATAGTGACCCCAGCCTCCTCAGTATTTACGCCAACAGCACTGTGTCTGTTCAGGTGGCCGCTGGGCTATCTCTGTCGGAGGACGCCCTCTTTGGAAGACACAATGAGGACATGAGAGTAAACGTTTAAAGTCTTCCCTAAGATACAGGGCGGTGGTATGATAGGACTTCTAAGAAAACTGCTCCTGCCTCCTTAGAAGGAGAAAGCAGGAAAAGAGGGAAGGCAGCGGGGAAGGTGAACCAAGCCACCCGCCTCTCTCCTAAGATGAGGTGGGACGAACCACAGAGCTGCTGGGAGAAACCGCTTGCGGCAAGTTGACCCCCACCACTCTCCCTCCTACCCTCCCCCTTTCTTTCTGTTCAGAGTAAATTAAAGAACTGGCTAAAATCCACATGTGTGGGTGCCATCTTTATCTGATTGACCTATACTCCTGGTCACATCTTATCATTGCTTGTAAAGCAGCCCCTTCCTGTTTGCCAGACACATGCTTCTTTAAATGCTACAGACACACACACACACACTTCTGCTCTGCAGAAAAATGCGACTCCAGGGCTCCAGTCCCCTATGTTCACTGGAAGGGTTAATTCTTAAAGACCAGGGCTGGTGTCATAGCAAACCGCCCCAAACATTTCAATAGCTCTGCAAACAGCCTCTCTCTAAAAGCAAACAAGGTAAGACCCCAGGTAAATACCAAAGAATGGAAATCTCATACATCTCCCCACCTGTGTCCTCCCTGTTAACAGGGTGTCCATCAATGGCTGAGGCTGGTAAGGCTAGGGATTCGTTTATAGCACTGCATCAATAAAAGATTTTTTTAGAAAATCGCTTGCGGTTAATGTCTTTTTTTCTGTCCTTGATTCATTTCAAGCTATTTAAATTGGAGAATTGCGTGCTGTTCAAAGATGCACTTTAATCCTGACAAAGTCACTCAGTGCTGCTGCTGCTCGTGTCGCTGCTCGTGTTGGTGGGTCGATCTGGTTTCCGCCAGGCCCATCCTTTCCCGACCCTGGCGATGACGAGGCCGATGGTCCTCCTGCTACATGACAAAACAGGTGTTGTCAAGGCAGAGACTGCCTGGCTAGTGTTAGTGATGACGGTCTTGTGTGCACATGTGTGTTTCTATTTTGAAAGTTTTTATCACAATTATACACGTACTTGTGTGTAAGTCATGGTGTGCTCACGAATGCACTTATAGTGAGACCGGCAGCCCTCCCTCCTTCCACTGGTAACCAGCTCTGCCCTGTAACCCAACAGCACAACGCTCATCACGTTTGAAACTCTGTCAGCTTCCCTCTGTCAGAGAATGGCTCCCCCGGGACAGTAAGTCGGGAGGCTGTTTCTTTGAGTCTTACACGGTGTTTCTTGTATTTATTTCAATCAGGGACGGTCTAGTGTTTACTTGGGAGAAAAAGTGGTGCAGACTTTAAATAGGCTGCAGCCCACGGGCTTATGTGAAAAAACAGGCAAACACACAGTTCTGGGAAGCTGGAGACCCTCTTAAAGAAAAAGCTATGAAATTGTAGAATTCCCTTTCCACAGGACTTCGGGACCCTCTGTCTAAGAGTGGCATGCTGGGGTGTCATTTAAACCAGCAGTCCCCAACATTTTTGGCACCAGAGACTGGTGCTCCTATGAGAATTTAATGCCTGATGATCTGAGGTGGAGCTGAGACGGTGATGCTAGCGCTGGGGAGCAGCTGCAAATACAGATGAAGCTTTGCTTGCTTGCCCGCTGCTCACCTCCTGCTGTACGGCCTGGTTCCTAACAGGCCAGGAACTAGTACCGTCTTGGGTGTTGGAGACCGTTGATTTAGATCGTCCAGTGTCTGTAAGTGTAAAAGGATTTTTAGCTAGATTTATGCCAAAGTTTGTGACTTTTGCATAAAATATAACCTCTAATTCCCCTCTAAATTTGAGGAGAAATGCATCTTTTCATCAGATGGAGACAGGAGTCTAATATTTATTGAAAATAATAGCTTCATCCCCATTCGTAGGCAGAGAAATGAAGACTCCAGGGAAGAAATGAAGACAACCCAGGTAGTAAGTGGTAGGGCTAGTGTTCAAAGTGGGCTTGCTCAACAAAATTGTCTAAAAAGGTGAATTCAGTTTGTCCCCAGTTTCCCAGCAATCCTCAGGCCCATGGCAGGTAGACACCCTGTCATACCCAGTCCCGCCCAGACCCTTCACCTGCCTGAGGTGAGAAGCAACCTTGTGGCGTCCTCATCAGGGCCCAGGGTGAGTGCTCCCCACGTGGCATCGTGAATGAACTCTTCTGGAAAGGGGACCCCTCTTGGCAGTTGGCTGCCACCCTCCCTGCGCCTTGTGAGATCCAGAAACAGCATCAGCCTGGACAGACACAAGGGGATAGGCTTCCTCCTTGGTTCCACCATGGAAATGAGAAGCGAGAACTTGAGATGGGGGCCTCACTTTTCTGAAATCACCAGCAATCAGCTCTAAGAAGTATCACCATGAGGCCCCTGACAGGAAACCATCAGTATGGAACCTGGGGGCTTTCGCAGGAATCAGCTGGATGCGGCACAGCGGCCAGCCATTGGATTCAAGGTCAGGCCTGTGTGGGTGGAGCTCCACAGACCATCAGGGCGAGCAGCGCTGTCCTGGCATCACCGTCACCACCTGTGTCACAGACGGCCCCTTCCAACCCCCTTCAATGGAGCTCATACAAGTGAAGGCCAAACACAAGGCCCGCTCCACTCTGCACACTCACCCTAAATTGGGGCATGGTCTTGAAGGTGCCATCGACCGTGGGGCAGACCCCATAAGCTCATCTGTGCACTCCAATAACCCTGATGCCAGCCGAGGCTCGAGCACCTTAAACATGAAAACAGCATGGGGAGCACTCCCCACTCCCTTCCCTTCTCCCTGAGGCTTAGTGGCCACTCCAGCAAACCTCCTCATTAACTAGGCAAGGCGACCGAGCACAGTAAAACTGAAGGATGTGGCACAAAAACAGCGGTCTCAGCCGGCCAACCTCGTCGTGGACAGCATGGCTGCTCAGCTGTGCCCCAGAATCCTGAACGCCCATCATGGCCCCAGCATAGAAGTCACGCATACCTTGCCGGTTGCTGGGGGTCGTCTTCTCTGCAGGCTGCACTTATGGGACCACCGGCTTCTGGGCGGTCCTGCGCTTTACCCATGGTTCAACATGAGCTGATCAGGGCCGCGCTCGGCCTGTGTGAATGGGCTGGGGGCCACACAGAGATGACCCACACTAGCACATCCATCCAGGAAGGAAAGGGTCTTTGTCTTGCCCAGACATTGCCTGTCCCCTGATTAGGGCTCCCTTCAGTGACTCCTGAGAAGGGCTCACACTTGCTGAGCACTTATCCTGCCAGCACGCTCTGGGATTCAACAGGAAATACTGATTCCTCCGTGAGAGGCAGAGGGTTCTGCACATGACCTGGCCACTGTCCACACGACCTGGCCACTGTCCATACTGCCTGGCCGGTGATGGAGCTGGAGCCAGGCCCTGAGCTGACACCAAATTCAATGTCCTTAAGCAGTGGCACCCCTTCTGCCCATCCCCGTTCCCATTCTCATCTGCTGCACATACACACGCACACACACACACATGTTCACACGCCCTTCACACTTGAACCTTGTGTAGGCCATAAATAACAATAACCCACCACAGCACCATCTGTGTCAGTCCTGATCAGACATGTAGAATTTCCTTTGCCATGGCATGGAGGCCTGATGGGGTCAGTGTTCCAAGTGGGTTCTGATTTTCTTTTAAACCAGGGCTCAGCAAGCTTTTCTTCTAAAGGGCCAGATAGTAAATATTTCAGGCTTCATAGGCCATATGGCCTATCTCGACTATTCCATTCTACCTATCTTTGTGGTGCAGAAGCAGCCAAAGGAGATCTAGAAAGTAATGGGCGTGTCTGTGATCCAATAAAACTTTATTCACAAAGACAGGGAGTTGGTCAGATGTGGCCCACAGGCCGCAGTTTGAGACCCCATAGTTTTCAACTCAAGCTATCATTGAAAGTGTAATTAATGTCCTAGGGTTTTAGACACGGGGTTCGTCTAACCCATCAAAGTCAAGACTGGGTGCCAGAATACTTGAAGTTAAGCCAGAAGGCCTCGATATGTGATCCATGGAGCTATAGCAACAGGCATTTTGCCAGAAAAGAGTTCTCTGGACTAGTAAGTTTGGGAGACCACGGGTTATATATTCTTTACTATTATATATACTTTATGGGTTATATATACAATACAGGTTTACTGCAGGACCCTCAGGACCTTTAATGTGCTGATGTGCACTGTCGGTCTCTAGGAAGGGCAAGTGCTGTGAGTCTCCCGAGCTTGCCAGACTCTTGTGTGCAGGCCTTTGTCTATAGCATTCTTTGAGAAGACTGCTCTGGATGCCAGGTCCTGGAGTTTATCACGCCGTCTGATTTTCTATCTCCTTCCTAGGTGTTCCCACTTGAAGGTGCCTGCCTCAGCTGCCCCTACCCGTGCAGTAGCCCACTTTATCTTCAGAGCCATATTGCAGTTTAGTTGGGGGCTTTGGGGGCCCTGCCTCTCACCAGCCGGTGTGAAGGTGCTCAGTATGAAAGACATAGGAGAGACAGGGCTGGGATCCAGGCTGGTGCGTCTCTTCCTTTGTCTCCACAACCTGCTGCTTGGTGGTCTGCTGTTTAGGGCCTCCTAGAATGTCCTGGAACCTCATACGTCACCTTGGGCTCCTGGTTTTAGGAGCTGGATAGAAAGGCCCCCTCCCATAAGAACATGGGTCCGGAGCTTCAAGAAGCCTGAGGCAGGAGCTTTTGGGGCCTCAGGAACTCCGATGAGAGCATGGGACATTCGTGCTGGAAGGCTAGCGCATCCGGAGACCTAGATGAGTGGTCAGGACTCAGAGGCACAGAGTTGCCATGCCCGAGCGGGAAGGCTACCTGAGGAGCTTTGGTCTTCGGCCCATGAGATGGCGATGCTGTGCAGGGACCGAGAGCCTAGCGGAGAGGGCTGAGACTCTGCTTGGAGGGAGAGTCCATGGACACTGGACCTTTCTGAGTCCTTCTGGGGAGAGAGGCATGGGGCAGCGCTTGGGGTTTGACTGGCGGGACTCCCTTTAGTCAGCGAACTAACTATTCTTTAGTCCCCAGCGCTGCTCCCAGCCACAAACAGTAAGTGGTAATAATAACAAAAAGACTAGAAGGCCTCCTGGGCTGGAAGACCCCAGCAGGCAGAGTCAGCCCAGGGAGAGACCCCCACCCGCCCAGCAGGGCCAGTGGCTCTCCAGCCTGCTTGATCATCTTGTGATATTTTACAGGGAGCTGTGCATTCTTTCTGTTATCGAAGGTCATTTTTTAAAAAAAGACAGAGGGTGTCAAGAAAAAAGGTGTGAGACCTTTGGGCACAGCCTGGTTCCGTTTCAACAAGCTGGGCAAGTCCCGTGAAAATGCTGTCAGATCTGTTGAGCTGTCGTCATTCGTCCTGTTTTGTTTTCCTTCTTCTTTTTTTTTTTTTTTTTCGTTTTTGTGGTCCTCAGAGTTTCCTAGTTGTGATTGCTAAGAAAAACTCCTAAAATAAACCAAAACAACAATGACAAAGCAAAAACCAAGAGTTAGTCAGCCTGCCACAGTGCAGACCCCCTCGGCAAGTGCTGGTTTTGACGGACTGTATTTGTATTCAGAACACACCTGCTTCCTTTCCTCTCCTGTTCCATGAGCCCTGCTGAGAATTCTTCCTCCTTGTCCAGGGCCCTAAAGCCCCCCGAGGGGGGACCCAGATGGGAGTAGGGCGGTGTACTCCCAAGAGTACCCCCTCACATCTAGCTCCCCCCACCTCAGGATGAAGGAC